GCGATTTTTTCAGATCGAAATTAATTATCCTAGGTCGATATATATACCCAAAAATTGAATGGGTGGCGATTAATGTAATTATATTTGGAAATGGATATGAATAAGACATGGAATAGATCGAAAGTTTTAGAATCCATAGCTCTACGTAATAAGATAGCCAAAAATATAGAAGACATCAAAGAGGATATAGCATTACTTAAAGAGGTCCTGGAAAAAATGATCGGTATATGCCAGGTACATGATACATGTCTGTCGATTTGAAATTTACCAATACATAGAATATAACGAAAAAAATATAGCTTTGGGGGTAGGAACCCAGGCTAAATAATATATCAGTTTCTTATTATGTTTTATTTTTTACATTGCTCGAGCTAGAATTAATATATGCTCTGGCTCTAGAACGTCTGCCTTGGTGAATGCATCATATAAGGCATTCGGTTTATGTTTCGAAGGACTAAATTTTGGGTGATGGAGGAATCTTGCAAGTATATCATTTCTCCATTTCCGAGTCTCTATACTATTCCAGTCTATTTTCAATAACTTACGTATAGTATAATCATTATATACTTCGAGCAATACCTGTAATAAACTTGTTTTTCTATCAATTAACGAAAGTAAACTTTTTTCTGGATTGTATGCAATATCCCAAATACGATTAGATATGAACGCGAACCAGTTTCCCAATACTAATTTTTCATGAATTGGAGGGACTAAAACTTTTTCCTCTTTCCAATGCATATAACCATTGCGTATCAAGACATTATATGCTGGTCCATCGATTACAATCATACGGTTCGTTTTGGGGTTATAGATTTTTGGCTTTTTCGATCGCCTAGCTAATTTGAATAACTCATCTGAGGTAATCGTTTCTTTGTTATACTCTGGCTCTTGGGTATACATTTTTGTCTATAGTATCAATGTGGTATATAGTTATGAAAATGATAATAGTTGATTGTTACTTATGAAAATGATAAGTTTAATTGGTTATTTTTCTGTTTATAATATTTATACGCTCTTTCCCTACCTTGGCCACACGGGACACAAAGCTGAAGGCTCGATTTAGTCCCTCGACCACATCCTTTACAGGGTTGTGGAATTATTACACCCTTTCGAATTTTGAATGCATGGGTAGCGCAATATTGCCCTTTTGCTGGGGTCTTGCAGAAATGGATATCCCCGACTAATAACCAATTACAAGGCATTTTCGATTTGTAATCGCAAAGTGGTTATATTATTCTATTCTCACTTTCATATTTAAAATTAAATTTGAGGATGGGTATTAAGATTAAAATTTTACCGAATCAATCTATCATGACAATATATCGTGGAATATATATTCCTGTAAATGGTCCTCCGGAAGTAAAAAGAATTAATAATACTAGTGAAGAAATCTGTCGCCTACTAGAATGTACCTATAATCAGCATATTACCATTTGCGACTTGGATAATTATGATCTTGCTATATTATATGATGATGATGGTTATGCTAAATCTTTACCTCAGAATCCATTAGCGACTCGTCTTATATATCAACGAATGGGACGGGATGATTTACCACCAATTCGAGGGCCTGTTGTATTAGTTGACGATTACAGAAAATTATCTCTCAAAGATCTTCGTAAATTATTAAAAATACCCTATAATAGGGAGCAGATTGAAAATACCAGTAGGAAAATGTTAGAAGATGTACAGGCTTTTTTGAAGCGACAGCAAGATACTAAAGATTATACTTCGGGTGGGGATTGAATATTTTTATCTGGAAATTTTTATATTAACTAGTTTGTAGGAGCAAAAAAAAATCTCCTATATCGAAGCTCCTACCTACAAAACTCACCTATTCACTCCTTAATATATATAGTAACCTTACCATAGATACCCATTTTCCTGGAGTATCGCTATATTTTTTGCCCAGTCCTCATCATTATAAATACATGTATATGATCGGGGTTCGCCTTTATCTTCATACATCCAAAGATCAATCTCCATACATATTAATTTTTCTCGTCTGGATAATTCCATATATTTCTCTGGATCAGCCCCATCGCCTCGTGCAAATTCAATTATTTCCGCATCTGCCATTATTTTATCATAATAAATTCTTGCCAAATCTCTATCTTTTTCAGTAATAGTAATGAACTTATCTGGGTTTTCGCCACGTTTAACTGCACATTCTCTAAGATGTATCTCTCGTTGCTCCCTGGTTTGATATCCAGGTGGATATGATATCTGGGTGGGAGTTGAATCGGAGATTCGAGACTCTGTCTCTTCTTCGTTACTGGTTTTTGGTGAATTGGAAATTCGAAGCTTTGCTTCCTCATCATTCGTGGATAAGTCAAGAGATATCTCTGGCTCATCATTCACTAATTCGATAATTTCTGGAGATTCAACTTCATCGTCCACTGATTCTATGTGTTCGATCTCAGGAGGCGGAGATATATCTGTAGGGACAAAGTCCCATTGCTTTGCAATAGACTTGGATGACGAAGCAACTGAATATTCTGGTTGATCTATTATTAAATTGGAGAGATCCTGGGTTATGTTAGTGATGGGTGGAGGTGATGAATCCCTACCTTTTTTGATGTGATCGGTGTTTGATGAGGCGGAGTTTATTTTTTTCTCTGGTCTTGGGGTTACAATTTCAGGTACGTTAAATATGGGCATATTCGTGGAGGTATCAATAGCTAAATTGGCTTGAGACAAGTCAGAAAATTCCTCGATATTACCTAATGATTCACAAAGTTTGGTAACGATTTTGGGTCGGTCGAAAATATATACCCATTCTCTTTTCCCATCGATTCGAATCTGCTTTCTTTCAATGTCAATTTGTGAAAACTTCTTTCCTAAAATATTGCTACTGAATGATTTCTCACCATTAGCTTCACACCATGTACGATACTCTTGATATAACAGCAAAACAAGAATAGTTCCAGGAATTATTGCTGGATATTGGACTAGAAACGCAAACCATTTGAGAATATATGTGGAAAGAACTTTATCTCCATTACACCAGATATTTTCTATATGCCAAATAATTGGGTTCACAAGGTCATAATTAATTTGAGATACTGGCTTGGCCTTGAACCCTAAGAAAAGGTTAAAGATATTATTTCTTTGTGGGATAACATTTGGAGGATATGGTATGAAATCAATTTCAGTATAACGGATTACATGACTAATAAGAGCGTGATTTATCAGCGATGTTAATTTTATTGCTTCCCCTCCAAGTTCTATTATATTAATTGTAAATTTAGCAAGGAGTAAATTAGGTCCCATATCAAAGTATAACCCACCGTCCGATTTTTTATGTTTGAGAATCCATGTTTGGGATTTCCTTTGGACACATGCTATCGTTGCTTGTGTCACCAATTATTTTTGGGAGAGCGTATTTTAATTGATGATAACAAATTTTTATTATTTTATGTGGATCAGAATGA